GCTCACGGTAACTGAATCACTTGGATCGGAAAATTTTACTTTTAATTTCTTACGGGTGCGATCTGGTACATCTTTCAAATTTAACAAGAATTCGATATGAGAATCTTTTCCATCTGCAATACATGCGAACCCCTTTGACATATTCATATATTTTTCGAACAATAATGGCAATTCAATCCAGAACTGTTCCATTAAAGAAACGTATGATTTATATTTCTCATTAGTACGATTTTTACTCCAATACCGTATTAGATGCGTAATCTCGATAAAACAACATTGTTTCATAAAAATACTATCCGTCATGCAAGCTTCTATAACAGGCATAAGCTGTTCCTTAAGGAGCCGAACGCATAAATCTACATTTTCGGCGTTTATGAGGATCGAATAACGTAAACATTCAATGAAAGATGTTGTTACAGCGAGCGTTTCTGAACGGCTCATTTGCACACTTTTGACAGAAAATCCTTGGCGCATATTGTTAAAGAAATTTGTATACAGATCAATGAGATCAACGTTAAATTTTGGAAATTGACTAACAAACGGTAGCAGATTTGGGTAAACAGTGCTAGCACAACACTGGCCACCGGATCGTAAAGTGTGCCACAATTTTGGAAGTACGAGTTTATTAATATTTACGACAAGATGCCAATCATCGATCTTCGTTGTAGCTATAAGCATTGATTCCCACACAACCGATAAAATTGCAGGTTCAGATTCATCAAGACTATTCATGATAGTGGTCACTGTCCTTTTCTTTTCATTTTCTAATAACTTTCCCGCGTTTTCCATTATCGATGTCAATACATTGAAAAAAGCTATTTTTATTGGCAAAGCATCGTGTTTAGCCAGTTTCCAAAACTTCGAACTGCTTAAAATTTTATTGTGAATCTCCAAGGTTTTATCAATTTCATCAAGCGGCACTTTCTTGAAGTAACAATTATATCCTTGGAGATTTGCTACCAGTAATCTTTCATATTTAGCTTCCATTTCGTCGTTAGTAAGAGACTTCTGCGTCGATAACGTTTGAGCTGTATGCACAATTATATTGTTGCTAATGTATAATAAAATTTCGCACTGGCAATGAATAATCGCATTAACTATTTTCCAGGGTGGAAATGTACTGTTGAAAGAATTGGTAGCAGCTGATGCCGCCGGAGGATACGTGTCATATTGAGAAGTAAACCAAGCACCAGCCAATTGTTTCAGATACATTGCAATACCTTTGCCTACACGCTTGACAAGAGCTGCATGTGCCGACTGTGTAGCTTCTCTTACTCTGTGATCTATATCAATGGATAGAGCGCAGTAAAATCTTGGCCAAAATGGTAGCATACCTTCTACCGCTGACAATTCTGCATCTTGACATAAAGTTGCAAATTCTTGTAATGCCTGCACATATATACATTATGTTTACAAAATCTGTAAATTGATCAATGACTAAATAAACGACTAAACAAACTAATTACCTTAAACTTTGTCGTAGCATCTTTCTTACTCATCTTTTTAAATGTAACTTGAAAATTAGAATCTATATTGTTCATCTCAACCTCGTTTAGGGAACACAAGGATAATCCAGGTAGAACAGGAACATATCCTCCGTCCTTAACTGCCGAGAATCCAACAAAATTAGGCATTGCGGTCCCCAAAAGTTCTGCACTGCGGCTACTATTTGATGGCTAAAAATGTTAAAAAATTGTACAACTAAGTATTAAAAAATCCTATTACAAAATAATATGTATTATCTGGAGACACGATAATGTCTTGGCTAAGTCAAGCGCGGCAACACTGCCTGGCTACTTCATATTTACAAGGAGAGGACACAATGGATCCGTCATAGATTTTGATCTCCTTCAATATAGACCCAGTTCCACAACTCACAGTTAATTCTTAACCGAGAGTTGTGGAACTGGGCCTATAGTGAATCTATACAAAAAATAAATAGTGTCACATGAGTCGTATGTTGTATTTGAGCGTTTTGAATGAACCTCGTAAATAATAGTTTTTATTGTATGAAAGGACTAATTATATGGAAAATTGAATCCCAGTGAAATGAGTTAGTTTTCATAACTTATTTCACATATAATATAAACAAAAGATGTCATAGGCACAAGGCTTAATAATGGTTTAATAAACAATTTTTGAGCAATAGTATATGAAAGGTCTATGCTTGAGTTTTATGGGCCTTCTACAATAAGCCATTAGTTATAAATCAGAAGTCAGAAAGTAAAAATTGATCAACTATAGTCGTCAATTTTTAGCTTCTGACTTTTGATTTATAATTAATGGCTTATTGTAGAAGGTCCATTATACTTTTACAAGTTTTTACACCTTTGATACACCATAGCTCAAAAACTATCCATTATTGAGCCATTATTGAGTCATTTAACAAAACTCTCAGACATAATTATTTTTAATATAGATTCGTCATGTTAAAGAAGATCAAAATCCATGATGAATCTACTGTATTCTTTCTTAGTTAGTAAGCAAAATATTAGCAACATGCTAGCAGTTCACTAATAGATTCGAATATTGCAGAATACTGTATCAGACTGACATTACCTGAGTCTGTATTAAGCTAATATTCTGCATAATCAACATGATCTGGCAAATCCTGCCAGCAAAAACAAACAGAAACCAAGGAGACCATTATTTCATAATCATTTAAACGGAATATATCATTTAAATAGTCACGAAATAGCAAATTCTACTCAGTTTCTATAGACAATTCAGCAATCATTCTGTTAACAGATTTCATTATTACATTTGTTAGTATTTTGTAGACACAAAATTTCTAGCAGACACTTTGCAAAATCTGTTTTTGATTTATCTATGATAATTTGCTTATCACAAGCAAATTGGCTATGTTTACACCATGCGTTTAGTCCGCAACCTATATAACAGGTGTCTTTGTTTAATATACAGGATAAACAAGGACATTTATTGTATAGGCCGCGGCCTAAATGCATGGTATAAACGTAGCCATGATCTATTCATGTAATGATAAGTATTGCTGGATGATGACATGTTATAGATTTATTAGTAGATTTGTTCTTTATAACTGAACCTTTTAGGCCCAGTTCCACAACTCACGATTAACTCTTAACCCAGGTTCAACTTGTTTCTCATCCCCTATTCTAGAATTCTAGAATTAGAAAGAGACAATGAATAAGTTAAACCTAGGTTAAGAGTTAACCGTGAGTTGTGGAACTGGGCCTTATAAGTTTTATTTTTTCCTCTGTCTCTGCAACATTGATATCATCTATTTTATTTTAAGTGAAGCAAAATACAGAACGCAACTACAAGGAACAGACCCAATAAACGTGATAGGTTATATTATGAAATTATTGTACGCGTAATTTATAACCAAGCGATTACGTATAATCGGTGTTTACCCGGGCATTGTTCTTGGTTCGTTGGGCCTGCTTATTTTTACCCATGATGATACTCTTAGGATGAGATAAGAGCGTTTAACGATCAACGAAAATTTCAAGCCTCCTACGCTCCTACGTGCTGGACGTGACGTTCATGGCTGCGCCATATACAGTGAGAGCAAAAAGTATTCGTACAAGGAAATTTTTTATAAAAACAGTCTTATTTGTAGAAAATAAATATTAATTAACAATTTTATACAATGAATACATTCTATTTCAATATAAACAAACGAGCATGTATTCCTAATTTTAGAAGCTAAATTTCTCGACTGCACCAATTATACTTTTTGAGCATCCAATACAATTTTTAATTTTCGCTTATTTTTCAGATGACATTTTTTATAATTAATACACGTCTTTTTGGTATATATAATTTTAAGAAACATATACAGTCTATTTTATTCTTTATAAATAAATTGTTAATTATCCAACAAGAAATGATCGTCAATTAAACGTCGAATCGACGTCAAATTAGTGTTGAAATCATCATATCGATATCGGTTCGGCATCAGTTCGATGGCTCATTTCTCGCTGGATAATATTTATTTTTTAAAAATAAAGTTTTTCTTAAAAAAATATTTTCTCTGTACGCATACTTTTTGCACTCATTGTATATAATACTCCTATATTGGCTACGTTTACACCGTGCGCTTAGTCCGCGACCTATATGATAGGTGTCTTTGTTTAATATACAGGATAAACAAGGACGTCTATTGTATAGGCCGCAGCCTAAATGCACGGTGTAAACGTAACCATTGCTAAGATAAAAGAGGCGCAGCCTCTTTTTGGGAGGGGGGGGTGTGCAAAGATAGAGAATATCGGATCTCTCACTTCCTCAGTGTACTCGAGTGTGGTGCGCATGCGCTGTACACTAAGGGTGAAATCACACCGTGCGGAAAAAGACTGCGGAATAGAGAATGCGTGATTGAAGAATCAATCAGCGCTATTCCGAATAATGCTGAATAGCGCTGATTGGTTGCTTCAATGACGCATTCTCTATTCCGCAGTCCTTTTTCGCACCGTGTGATTTCACCGTAAAGGTTTGTCGCGTCGCAAGCTCCAACATGTTCCAATATGCTCCAACCATAGCTCCTACTCACTCTATTAAGCGCGTTGGAGTGAGTAAGAGCTATAGTATATATATATATATATAGGAGCATATTGGAACATATTGGAGCATGCGACGCGACAAACATGTAGATATTCTGCACCGTGGTGTTTTTATACTCCTATAATGGCTGCGTTCAGCAGACTCAACAGTTTTGCAACCGTTTTATGATTGTCTGCTGAGATAGGACCATTCTTCTAGATCTAAAAGTATGATCCAATTAGCGCGAAGGAAACTTACAACAGTTGCAAAACAAACGTTCTGCTGAACGCAGCCATTGCTAACGCCAGCTTTTAATTGGCGTTAGCAATATAGGAGTATATTACATATATGAGCTGCGCACAGAACATATATAAAGTGGCTGCGTTCCACTTAACGTTCACGCACTCGTGAAATAATTTCATCCTTGTCGTTTATCAAATGTTAAACAAGGACAAACGATGCTCGCGAGCGGTACGAGCGTTTGTGGACACGGCCCTTGTCAGCTGACAACATAACCTCAAATGTGTATCCATAATCCATCCGCTCCGGGTTTGATTCCAGGCGCCCTGCATATCGCGGTTTTTCCGCACTGTTTATTGATAAAATTTATTGACAAATTAATTATGTCGTATTGTTGAAAGGCTTAAGGCCGTTGCGAATTGTACGAGGAGTTTAAAATTGCTGTATAATAAGAAAAAAGGCACTGTTTACAAGTTTGACTCTGTTTACAAGTTTGATTGACAGTATTATGAATTTGGTACAGTGTCTTTGCATCATATTATCCAAAGGATAGGACAGAAGGCGCTTAATTTCCCTCACCCGAGGGAAAATTTATAAAATAACCATAATCCATGAACGTAAGAGTTGGCCGCATAAAATATATATATATAAAGGTTTATCGGTACGAAACACTGGAAAAGAGACTAATTAATTCTTCCGTAGAATCTACAATTACAGTCAAATGGGCGTCAGCACCAAAACTGAGCAGAGACTACTATTGTCTTATTGCTCCTTCACCTGCATCTACCTTTCTGGAATTCTGACGCTGGTGAATTTTAATGACAATTTGTACAACGTCGGCAAGTACAAATTCCTACCCGTGCTGATGATACTAACATTCGCCGAGGTGATAAAGCTGCTGTTTCCTATGCTGCAAGCGGAGGCACCTACTATAATCAAGATCGAGCAACGAGTCTATCCGAAGGCCAAGACATGCTGGGCGAAGAACCTGAGAGACGTCGTCAAGTTCTCGTTCAATACGTTTTTTCTATCAGTATTTTACTACTTAACAATCGTGCTGTTCGGCGCACCTATTTTAACTGATCACGAGGAGACAACGATGCTAGTCATCACCCTGATCACATTGACTTACGTATCCACCAGCTTGCATTTAGGACAGGACCATACGGTGGACATCTTGACAGGGGTTTATTCCTTGAAGAGCACTATCCTCTCGAATGCTTTAAAACTCAACATACAGATGACAATATTAGGCACTTGGCTGGGCGCTATTGTCATCCCTCTAGACTGGGATCGTCCTTGGCAAGCTTGGCCGATTCCTTGTGTTATAGGTGCATTACTTGGCTACTTGATCGGCCATTTCATCACTCTCATCAAGATGCTTCCCTCACTGAAACTATATAGGAAAATCCATCGATAATTGTGGATATTTGTGAGAAAAAAGATATTCCAGTTTCTCGAATAATATTATTTTATTAAATAAACGGTATGCTGATTGTTATGTTGCATTTTGATGAATATTGTGTATATTAGGTCATATAGAAGTAGTTTAATATATTAATATATAACTGTCCATCCTGATTCATATAAATTTATTATATTATCTGTGATATAGATATATATGTATCGGTTGAGATAGTAATCCAATAATCCTGCAAAAATCATTTTTTATATAAATTATAGTAATAATATTTATAATTCTATAAATTTTACTTTGGGTGATTTACTTTACTACTCATTCATATTCTACTTGATATAGCAGTTTCCTGACATCTCATCTTTCACGTGTACATCCTTTTACGTTCTTTATAATTATCCAGCTTGTCAAAATCCAATCTTATATGCAGGGTGAAAAATTTCAAACGTAATGGGCCGAATATCTCGGAAAATATGAAAAATACGGAAAAATGTTTCAAATAAAAGTTGTATGGTTCGGAGGGGAATATAAGAAGGTTCCATTGATTTGACCTTGGGTGGCATCGCCAAGACCAGGTCAAGATCATGTCGATTTTTTTAAATGGAACCCCCATTTTTCATTACATTTTCTTGTAGCTTACCTCAAGAGCTTTTCAAAACACTATAATAAAGCTTTTTTTCATTAAGTATTTTTCGAGTTATAAGGTTTGAAAGTTACAGTACAGCCGACATTAGCATTACGCAAGTTGTCCGACTGACGGCTGACGACTAAAACCTCTTGAATGTTGTTCAGGATCATGTCCTGCATTTGTCAAAATCAAGACTACCCAAGGTCAAACAATGGAACCTTATATCCCCCTCCGAACCATACAACTTTTGAATCTGAAATATTTTTCCATATCTTCCATATTTTCCGAGATATTCGGCCCATTACGTTTGAAATTGTTCACCCTATATACGCAATAAAATTATCACTATTATCTAAAAAAAAAATTATTATAAATGTGTCAAAAGTTTGCAGCAAACAAACTGTTGGGTGAATTATGCTCGCTTTCACCAATGACAGTTTAATTTTAATCTCAGTTTAACTCTCTTACTCTTCATCTTTTTCTAATTCTAACAATAACAATTAGAAAAAGATGAAAAGTAAATTAAACCGAAATTACATTTAAGCATTAGTTGTCAGTCATTCTTAATATTCGAATTTGAGTATATAAATTTTGCAAGTAATGGTAGTTACGAAAAAACAAATTGCATCAATACACATTATCAATCATTGATAATTTACTTATATAACGATATACTTTCTTACGTCAGGCTAGGCCTTTCACCCTTTATATCTGCAAAAATAAGAATAAAGCACAAATGCAAACGCTATATATTTCGTGCTTAAAGGTTATACTTTAAATGATCTATAATTCGTTAGATTCAGAACAGTATTCTATTTATAATAATTTTATATGTATGCTATACAAAAAATGACTGAAGAATTAAAATACATATATATATATGTGTATAAAATATATAAAAAAAATATATGCAGATATATTAAAATCGAGATTAAAATACATTGCATAATAGATAGATAAAAAAACGCATCAAATTTCTATAATTCATTTATCTCTATCGTTACATCTGATGATTTATTTTCGATATTTAATGATCAACTTTATATCTACTATTAAAAGAAAAATTAATAAGTTTTTGAAGTAAATATGACGGTAGAAATTCAAATGAAATTCCAATAAAGAGAGAGATCCTTTCGTTCCAATCGCTTAAAATTTGAACATAACATATAAAGAAACATTTCATATAAAGAGCTTTAGTACAGTCCGTGAATATCATAAGAAGTAACTTAATCGAAAAAGTTTTGCTTGGATCGGATTTAACGCAAAGAGAAAAAAACTCGTGAATGACTTCGTATTCTCTTGTCGTCTGCTGCGATTTGAGCAACCAATGAATGGGATTTTCAGTACTCGCGCAGTCGCAACTGTCTCCGCCGACTTCGCCTGAACGAATTGAAGCATAGTTGCCGACATTGAGATTCTTCGTTAAGATCAATTAAGAGAATCGTTTTCTCGTTCGCTGGATCAACAACTCCAGATTAATTCCAACACTAGACAGTGCAAGACAGTGCCTGACCAGCCTGACTACTTCGGAAGGATAATGTCAGACATAGCTGGAAAGGTACCGATTATCATTTGTTTCTGCGAATTTGCACGTTCTAAACTCGTTTATTTTTGTTCTTTTTCTTTTACGTCGTTAATTACTATTGGCCGATTACCACTGATCGTCATTTAATATGTTATCTGTCCTTATCCTTTATTGAAATGTTTTGTTACATCAAAACGATATTCCTGTTAGAAACACATTGTATACGTCAGAATTATCTTCTGTCTATTCACTATTGAATAGAGGCATTACATAAGTGTGAATTATCTTGTATTTATTATCTTAGAAAATGGATTTGATTCTAATAATACAAGTTTGAAAAGATGAGATAGACTTGATAATATGAAACAATTTAATTTACAAAAATTATTTAACGCTGTTTAAAATCGTTTTAATTATATTGAACACCTGGTTAATATAAAAGATAGAAAACATGTAAAGAGAGGTTATCAATAGAGAAGTTACTTATAGGCCCGATTTTTCATTGTCTAATTATCAGTTATCACAATATGAATCGCAAAAATGCTCACGAAATTTAGCTCGAAGCCTGTCTTTAGATTCGGCTCGAGCCTCTCGAGATTCGGTTTGAGGTTCAGCTCGATAATAAAGTCGAATACATGCTCTGCTCGCAATGAGGTTCGATTCTATAATCTGGACACATCTTTATGCAATTGAAATTTCTGCATAGATAGTTTTTATGATTATTAGCAAACATGATTTCTCTCCACATTGACTTAATGAGACATGGATAAATTTTTCTTGAAAGAATTCGTTATCACGTCTGTCCGAGATAATTATTTGTTTACTTAATATGTCAGTTTTGAAAAAAAAAAAAATAAAAATATAAGATAATTTTTGTAAAATTAATAAAACTATCCTTATTAATATATATATATACATATATTAGATAATTTCTTAATTGAATTCTATCGAATAATTATGTATGTTTGATATTTACTGTAACTAACAATATCTACTGATTTAATTTGTTTACAAAACATTAAGAAAAGAATTTAAATTTGTCAGTTAACTACAAAAATAATGAATTAAAAGATTTAAAGTAAACAAGAAGGAAAATTGAACAATAAGAATTAATGTCTGAAGACGCAAATAATATTTAGTAGATCTAATTCATTTAACCGATGACTGAACAGTTATAATTTATATCAGTATATATTATATTTATTACATGTATCATTGCTATTTTCAGGTTATCAAATGCAAAGCTGCGGTAGCATGGAAGCAAAAGGAACCTTTATCCTTGGAAGAAATTGAGGTAGCACCGCCTAAAGCACATGAAGTCCGAATCAAAATAGTAGCTGTGGCACTTTGTCATACAGATGCTTATACTCTAGATGGATTAGATCCAGAAGGAATATTTCCTTGTATACTTGGTCATGAAGGCAGTGGTATCGTAGAAAGTGTCGGAGAGGGTGTCACCGAATTTCAGCCTGGTAGACTGATCAAATTATATTTATAAAGATTCTTTTTTATTATTATCTAATTATCATAAGTTATATCAGTTAAATTTCAATAATGTTTTTTAGGTGAATCATGTCATATTTTGTTAATCTATTATTGTTTACATGAATGATTGTAGGTGATCATGTTGTACCACTTTACATTCCTCAATGTGGAGATTGTAAATTCTGCAAATCACCGAAAACAAATTTATGCAGTAAAATTCGCGAAACTCAGGGTAAGGGTTTAATGCCCGACGGCACGTCTCGTTTTACATGTAAGGGACAAACACTCGCACACTTTATGGGTTGCTCCACCTTTTCTGAATATACAGTTGTAGCTGATATTTCTCTCGCAAAGGTATTTATATACTTTTATAATCACTAAAGTTTTTAATAATTTAACCTTTATATAATTATTGTAAATTATTGTAGATTAATCCTAAAGCACCGTTGGACAAGATATGCTTGTTGGGTTGTGGAATATCTACAGGTTATGGCGCAGCTTTAAATACTGCCAAAGTAGAACCAGGAAGCACTTGTGCTATATGGGGTTTAGGAGCTGTTGGTCTTGCAACAGTCTTCGGTTGCAAAAAATCTGGTGCATCTCATATTATTGGGATAGATGTCAATTCGACCAAATTTGACCAAGGTAAATTATGTAATTAAATTGAACACAAAATTAATTTTCTATATAAGCAATGAAAAGGACCTTTCTTTTCTCTTCGTAGATTTTTTTATAATTATTGTGATAAAATTTTACAAATATTTTTATATTTATTTACAGCTAAAACTTTTGGCTGCACAGAATGTGTTAATCCTAAGGATTATGATAAACCCATTCAGCAGGTATTAATTGAAATGACTGATGGTGGATTAGATTATACTTTTGAATGTGTTGGAAATGTAAATACTATGGTACGTGTTTTATTTTTTAATTTTGTTTACGGAAAAAGAATTTTGTCTTACAAAGATTATTTTTTAGAGAGCTGCATTAGAATCCTGCCACAAAGGATGGGGTACATCAATAATAATAGGAGTAGCCGCAGCTGGCCAAGAAATCAGTACTAGACCATTCCAATTGGTCACAGGACGAGTATGGAAAGGGACCGCATTTGGTGGATGGAAATCAAAGCAAAGCGTGCCGAAATTGGTGGAGCAGTATCTGTCAAAAGAATTGATTCTCGATGAATTTATTACACATAATCTTCCATTTGAAAAAATTAACGAAGGTTTTAATATTTTGCATTCAGGAAACTGGTAAGCTTTGAAAAATTTTACTGTGAATATATAACATGAATATATTGACTAAAAAATGCACAGAATTATATATGGTTTATTATCAGGATTTTGTAAAGATAACTTGTTTCTGTTGCAGTTTGAGAGCCGTCCTTAAATACTAAAAACGTTGGTTTTTATCTTGTACTGCAAAAATACAGCCTACTGACCAGTGTCTTTCACAATTTATTAAAAAGTGCTTCATAACATGTACATGTACATGAACACATGAATATCATACTATCCCATTTGTTTGTTATAAATTTGTATTGAATCTCTGGAAATGAAAGATGGTAAATAAACTTTATATTTACTATACCATACTCTCAACAAGAACATCTCCCCGATTTCTACAACAATCTTTATTCATAAAGAATTCTTACAGCCACATGTACAATACCGATTAAGTGAGATATTTACGGTAGCTCTTGAATGAAGTAAAAATTCTTTACGCTTTGATCAAGTGCATACCTTACAAAAATCATCATGGTACGAAGATCACTGACGATGATTTTCATTGTATATAATCATATATATATATACAATATGCAAGACTCGATAAAACTATTTTACGTTCGCTTGTAGTTATATTAATTAGTCTAGGTCGACAATACAATAAGTCAGGCGGAATGCAAATTGCGCTCGATGCAGGAAGGAATATGCGTTAGCTCATTGCGGACGATGTCGTTTATCAGTTAAATATGTAGATATATTTTTAAAGTGTCATCTACATACTTTAATGCGTAAGTTTAACACGCCATGTCCATTAAGGCAAGACATTATTGATGAATTGACAAAATGATATTAAGTTATTCTTCGAATAAAAATAATATAAAAATGCACAATTTGTTATAAAACTCGATATAGTCGATGAAATCACAAAGATTGCCGTGCAATCACGAGCCGTCGAAATAAAACGCATTGGTAGAAAAAAAAGATAAAATGTACATTCTGTTTGACGTGTTTAAAAATCTCGGTACATACAACAATGTTGTCTTTGATCAATATACACGACGAGTATTATTTTCCCTGAATACTTCGTAGAAGGAATGCATGTCGAAGTGTGTGAAACGCGTTAGGCTTGCAAAATGAATTATCACTTTTCATTCTAAATGAGACACGTGTAGTTTTTGCATCGACTATTTCTACGTAAATTGCCTTCTAACGCTAAGGGCATATTCACATAGTCACACTGATCTTTTTTTTCTTTTTTTTCTACGGATTACATGTTACTCTAATATCTACGGTGTACCACACACTCTTTAAGTAAAAGTTGTAAGTAAAAATGCTTATAATTACAGTAAATGCAGACGAATCACGACGTCGAACATTTTCTAGCTTCGTAGAAAACAACTCTCAGCATTGCACGATGGATGTCGTTTCCGATTGCGTAAAGAATCCTAATGCTCCGCGCGAACTGAGTCGCGCAATGTATAATAGAGACATAATAATATTTCACGTTATTTTCTAAGCGATCTCACATTTTTCTTAACAACCAGCTCGACGTCCTATGATCGTGATTGAACTGCGTAGTATGAAATAGATCATTAACGAGTACGAAATAGGTCGTTCTTTATTCTGTATATCTTATACTAATTTTATAACGTAAAATGGCTGAGGGAAAGAAGAATAACTTAAAGAACTCTAAGCTTGCCCGAGAGAATATAATAAATAAGCGGAATAACGGTGAGATTTTCTATACCGCGTTCGGCGAAACACAGCCGAAAGTGAAGTAGTAAGTGCTACGAAAACCTATTTGCTTCGAGTGATTCAACTAAGTTTCAACGTGCAAGTGTGACAGTAGCAGAATGACTTCACACATCCGCCCGCCTCTTCTTCCCGCTCTCGTATCTTTTTTTCTCAACCAGTTTGATTTTGTTCGGTTGCTGCATTGTTATCACGTAATTCATATTATTCATAATTAACATTATGTTTCAATATTATAATTGTTAATCTAGCAATTAGAAATCATACGCTTATAGGGTTTTTCACTTAGTTTTCCGTTAAATGCAATTTGTGTCACCACGCATGACTTCTGGTCAATACGACGAAATTATTTCGTAGTATTCGGCCTTTCTTTCTTATTTCATGAATATCTTTTTTTTTTGTTTTGTGTATGCATAAACGATACGTAATTATATTATTTATACTTTTAATTGTGCGTGGAGATACCTCGATAGGCACGGAGGTAATCCAACGGTTGGTGTTCTGCGCGGCTCGCTGCGGAATTTTCTCCCCTCACTCCGTCACCAGCAATTCTCACACACGTACATACACTTTCGGCCATATCTGCATACTCTCTACACGGACTCTATTGGATATTGCACGGTATTATGATTACACGGGATCTACGATTGCGTAGAATGGGCTGTAGACGCCACTTACCGCTGGACATACGCGATTATTGCACGACATGGCAAGACACTCGCTACTTTAAATGTCGATCGGAGCTTCCTAACTGGGACGAAGGACGCGACTAAGATCGTTATGATAATTCGACAACGATCTTTTCCGGTTCCACGTAGCACGATTCGCTACGAATCCGACCTCCTCATAACTAATGATCGTCGTGCTTTTTCGTTGCTCTCGGAACTCATTTAGGCTCACGTTTCGTTTCGTCACGCGTGGACCTCGACAGGTTCGACAGGCGGCCCGACGATGACATAGAACACCTCTGATCACAACTCGGCGGTATTTCCAAAGCTGGCGAACGCGCGCACCTTCCCTCACTTTCTTCCGACCGTACAGTCGGTTCTCTGCTCTTAAAGATGCTCGGTTAAAGATGCTGCGCTTCCGTTGCTAGCCGCCGCCTTTAATATGTCTAGAAATCTAGAGGTTGATCGGCTGAGCCTTCAAGATCCTGAGAGGAGTCGGTACCGCCGTCCTCGTCGTCATCAAGGTCCACATTGTTAGTTTTGAGCCCACCGCTGCTGATCTTGTTTACAATTGTGTCTGTAAGAGAGTTTAAAAGTAAATTTAAGAATATGATAGTATACTTCGCGAAAAGAATATGTGATACTATTTACACATTCAATTATCTAATGTTCCCGACCCTAATTCTATTAATAAAAATAGCATCGAAAATAGTGATGATATTGCTTATCGAAAACTAATATAATTATTTAGCAAAACAAGAAAAATAGTTTTTAAAATTTTGACTGATTACAGTTTAAAAATGATAAAATCTTATTTTTTATTTAAATTTTTTTTTAAGATAAGATTTATTTCAAAAACTTTAAAAATTTAATCATGTGTTATTAAGATATTCAATTTTGAAAATTGTAGAAAAGTAGGTCCAATCTGAATCTCGATACAAAAAAAGAAATTACTTCAAGTTCTAAAGAAAAGATATCTTTATTATCTATTTTCATTTCGATCTGGGGTTATCGAACATCACATTTAAATCATTTAATCTAAATACGCGATATCTGTTTTTACACATTAAATCTGAATATAATTCCGAATAAAGGCCTTTTATTAATTTCTTCGTAATTTTACATATTGAAATTATTTATTATTTTACTATTGTATATCACTAATTCCAGCGCTTTAAATATTTATTATCATTTTCATTTCGATCGAAATGAAAATAGATAACGAAATTATTTATTATTTTACTATTGTATATCACTAATTCCAGCGCTTTAAATATTTATTATCATTTTAAATATTTGTTATCCAAGCGATATAAAACATACCGCAGTCAGGCTTTGCACCGCGCGTTCTGGTACCAGCAAACTCAACACCATGCGGATCGACGCACCAACAGAGACCAAGACCCCGATGACACTGAGTGCTGCGGTAATATCCTCGCGAATCGCAAGCAGGTGCAGAATCCGGCGATGATCGTCTACGTACAGCGGCACACGGACGTTCAGCTTTAGAGAAGCACCCGCACCATTCAGGACCGCTCACAAAAATGTCGCTGAAAATATAATACCGAAAATATAGCTTTATGTATGTCTCTCATTTTCTTATCGATTTTTAGAAGTTTTATCTTAAAATACGAGTGGCTTGCTGCTCGATACGATTAACTCGCGATCTGTAGATCCAGGTTCAATCCCTTGCATTCACATACGCGATTTTTCGCGCTTAAGGAGTCGAAAATGATTCCATCTGGTAATTAAAGGCCATAGTACACAAAAAAACTTAAGCAGTAAAACGTAAGCAATAAGCAAATTAGCCAATCACAATAGAGACTGTACGTAAGCAATAACCAATCCAACATATTGATTTCCTTACTGCTTACGTCTTACTGCTTAAGTTTTTTTATGTGCCATGGTCCTAAGCAGAGACTCGGACCGAAAAAATTCGGTTCGGATAACGGTTTGAAGCTAAATCTAACTTTTGGTTCCAATTCTTTTATTGTTTTATTTTTAATTTTTTTATTTATTATTATAATTTATTATTTATTATTTATTATTTATTTATTATTTTAATTAATTAATTAATTTATATTTATTATTAGATCCTCTTCAGATTGTCTATCCATAAACTTATATATTTTTCTTATAAGGACCTTATATATTTTTCTATCCATGACCTTATACATTTTCCTTATAAGGATCTTATACATTTTTCTATCCATGACCTTATACATTTTCCTTATAAGGACCTTATACATTTTTCTATCCATGACCTTATACATTTTCCTTATAAGGACCTTATATATTTTTCTATCCATGATCTTATTAATTTTATACATTTTCCTTATAAGGATCTTACAGAAAAACAGCGTTACATACTCGGGTCCCGATAAGGCAACAGTATCAGGTCCCGACAATTAAATCAGGCAAATATTATAAGGTCCTTATCGATACCCTACTTTAATTTCCAGTCGGGATACGATTTAGCGCTTGGATCATTATTGCATTAAATATATAATGTTTAATATTACGTTGATAGAGGACAGCAATCACATAAGTGAAAACACAATACATGTAAAATTTTTATAATATGAAATTTTGAGAATAATATAAATATAACAAATTAGTATTATTAAAAATGTGCAGAATAATGAGATATATATAATACATAGATAATATATAAAATATTACGCAATGTAATAAAATACAAAATAGTGAGGAGTTTTTTATACATGCATTTAAAAAATTGTATCTATTTCAGTAGTTAATAAACGCATGTGTTCAGACACAGTAGTAACATCGCGCGTTTGATCAGACCAAGCTGTATCTGATGTCTACAATAACAGACACTTTATTTATTATATTTCAAATCGTTATATTTCCATGTGTTTTATCATCTTTCTAAAAATATCATCAATCCAATTAGAGCTATATAAATTTTTATTTTCTATTTCACTAAATTGAGAATACAATCCTTATAATTTCAAAAGATTTAAAAAAATACGCGTTCAGAGATATAGTCTGTATATCTTTGAACTTATCGATCGATCTTATCTTACCCGCTGTTCGTCCATTGTCGAGATAAGAACACAATAGAAATGCCAAGTGTAAGTCTTAGATGTATTTACGATCGTGAAAAGTTTTCTTACATGCGGGACAGGAATTCATAGATGACTCTTACCTGTCGGTATCACAACTATCCAGGAAAGGTTTTAAGCACGGTTCATTTTGGTCGTGTTCCAGACCATACAGTTCGGAGAGTGAGAGTCGGCCATCACTATCGCTGTCCAAATGTCCGAACATCCACCTGACCTCGCTCTGACAACCGATTGGGAAATGACCTGAAATCATCAATACATGTACATTATATATAGATTCTTGTATACACAGATATGTATACATATATGTATATTATAAAACACTTAAAGCTTGTTTTAGACAATCTATAATTCGAATTAAATTAAGATAGAATTTCATTTATAATTTTATGTATATATTGTATTTTAATATATCCTTTTCTTCAAAAGTGATACAACTCAAGAAATTAATTTCCTAGAAAAAAGAAAAACTATTTTTCAATTTAACATAAAATTAATTATTAATCAAATAATATATCGTCAAAAAAATACATTTTTAAAAATGATAAATATCATTTTTATTATCATTTTTGTTTCACAACACCCTTAAAAAAAGCTACTCTTTTCAAAAACCATCGATTTTGACGATTTTTTAATGAAGTTATTTCATTTTTGATGATTGATAGGGTAATGTTTACTTAACTTATTCATGGTAATAATTCAAAAATCATTTTTTAGCTGTGTCACTTTTAAAGTAGGAGATATATTAGATATATGTGTGTTTTAATATATATTTCTCTCATATGTGCGTATTTCGATTCGTTAAATACTATTCAAATTAAATTTGTTCAGCATGAAATTCTGTTTATGCGTCACGGCATAAATAAAATTCCGACATGAATTATAAAACGGGATTTTAAAAAAGGATCGATACATGTGGACAAATTAGCGATTGGCTAATATCTTCACATTATCAAAAACAAAGATATTTAGCATTACAAAAACACGGTAATATATAAAATTGAAGATATTTCCGCAGACTCTATTTTATTCGGCTGCAAATTTATCTAAGAATTAAATTTTTAACATAAAAAACTCTCAATATGATAAAAACACAACCAAAATGGCAAGATTTTATTTATTTCTGTATTCAGCAATTTTATAGGAGGATTATTTAATTTAGCGCGATAAATTAAGATTTTGCTTGTCCATTTTATTTTCCATTACTGTTTATCTCTTTTTATATAATGCAAAAAATAACGTAAAAAATTATAAATCGTTCATTCAGAACGAAAAGACGATCACCGATCAGTCCTTGAGTTAGATCCGATCACTCGGGTCCAACACAATCACGGGACTATTCTCCCGTTTGTGGTCAGAGGATGGTTAGTCAAACCATCCTCTGTCGATTCAGCCGGGATCGTCGGCTGCATAGCTACGTGCATAGTACACTTTGTTTTGCCCCGAGCGACCGTAATACCGTAAGATCAACATGGGAACTGGGAGGACAATATCGACAGATAGTACCGCCCAAAGTAATCGCGACGTACCCGAGGCGGGAAACGATTCATTGTACCGGGACAATTTCGAACTGGGTACGAAACTGATTGTCTCCAAGTCGAATGGCGTACAGTGTCGGTACTTCGGCAACTACCACGAGTAGCGTCCCGTACGTCGAGATGACCGTCCACTCCTACAGGAACAATTAGTCTCCCTTGCAGGACCCCCTCAGTATCCCGCGGGAAACGTTTCAATGCGCTCAAAGCGCATTCCGTGGTTGTACGCGATGTCAGATGGCTGCTTAATGAGACTTTCGTAGATCGACAAGGTGTCGTCAAAAACACCGTCAAAAACAAAATATTTAATAAATGCATAACCAAGTTGTGTTTGAAAATTTCGGTAGTCAGTAGCAGATATCGCGGACATAATTTTTGAGGAATATCGAAATTTATTAACAAATCTATAATATATACATCAGTTAGAATGATCCGGTATATTAATTGTATTTCTTTCGCAAACAGCCGCATTAAAATTTGTATCGTATGTTTTTCTACCTTTAGGCTTGGGATGCTGACGGCGATGCTTGGAGTCCGCCATTACGACGGAGAACCAATCTAGGAGGCGGTTGGCCATTGCAGGCTTGGACGACAACGGGCAATCCGTATTTCTGGATGGTAACTGCACGTTGTATATAGCCTTCGACGGTGACTGAGTCTTGTCCGTGACTTCATTGCTCATCAGATGCTTGTCGTCGTATCTGTTCGCGTTAGCGAGTCCCTGTAATATGGAACATATATATCGCAGGTGTGCATACGCAACACACGCACGCACGCACGCACGCACGCACGCACGCATACATCTGTATATGTATATATATATATATTTATTCGATACCATTACCATATATTATAGTATCACATTATTATACATTATTATAATATTACATTGCTATACATTATAATACCACATTATTATATGATGTAATACAATATATTGTATCACAAATAATATCTTTATATGCGTATGTGTATTACCCAAATCTATAAATACAAAAATAAGAACGAGCATTTCTATGGGCATTTCTACGGGCGCCGGTTGTTACGTAAAATGCACGTAGGGATGGGGAAGAGAGATAAGTAAGGGAATGAACTCGATAAAATAGTCGATATATATTTTATGCAACTCGCAATTGCACTTCGGTAACATCATGTTTCATTACGCTTTTCCATCTCATAAATTTTCCATCAAAACGTGACGATAATTACATTCGTTATCGTAATTCCGATAATTAACCAAAATACAAGCCTCGCTTTTTCGCGGTGAGTACAACCAATTGAATTATTATTTGCCTTGAATGGTTATTTTTGATATTTTATTGTTCAACGAGTTAATTAAATTCTTGGATAAAATGTTTAAATAGAAATATTGTGACATTTGAAATAATTTGAAAACATTTTGTTATATTTTTACAAATATGTTCGTACACAAAACTCAAGTACTCGCATAAAATGTAATTGGAAACTTCTTGTTACCTTAAATAAATTAGTAAATATTTAGATTATATATTTTTCACGTCATAAAATTTACTTTTTTAAAGAGTCATGCTATAAAATAACTTTAAATAAATTAGTAATAAATAAATTACAAAATACCTTAAATAAATTAGTAAATATTTGGATTATATTTTCCACGTTATAAAATTTGCTTTTTTAGTTACGTAAAAGGTGCTACAAAATACTCTCATAAAATTAATAATTTAATAACTTTTACACGTCGGATATTCATAAGAACGAAACATATTTGCGTCGACTTATTATTTCAAAGTTGTTTACGGAGTGCACGCTTTGTATTTCTTTGATTCGAAGGTTAGTAATTTCTCAATCAACAATATATATAACAATATAAATCCATTTCTTGATTCCTTTGAAAATAACTTCCCTCATTGTTATAAATTTAATAATAATATAATAGTAATAAACGTAATATACATAATAAATATCTAACATTTTCTAAATAAAAGATGCATATTAAATTTATTTTTAGTTGATTAGTTTAATTAATTAGTTGGATCAGTCAGTTTTTAAGAATTTAATTTTACTCAATTAGTTTAATGAATTGGTCAAAATTAAGTTTAAAAAATTCACTTTTTCTTTCGAATAATTTAATCAATTAAAATTAAATTAAAATAGTTTAATCACATGAGAGCGAAAAATAGAACTGATACATTCACCGAGCGACTAGTCTTTGCGTTTATCATTTAACTTGGTAATTACAATGAAAATACGCGCTTGGACATTACAATTTCCTCACATCTACATTACAAGGCACGGCTATACGTCGCAGAATTCGTTTTCTTATTTCGTTTTGTTTTGACCATATTATCTAATTGTATTCTAATGAATGTTTTGCGATATTGAGAAGGATCCACATTAAGATTGGAACGTCTATTAATGTATTGTATTGAATAAATTCATTACACGCGCGGTACATCCTGTATTCGGCTCTCATAGGCATTATCACTCTTTGATTTAAAATTATTTACTTATACGGAATCGGATATGTATATCAATTCACACTGAAATATTATTAAACACAAATATCTAGCTCAACATTTTTCTACTTTGTTGTGTTATTCACAATATCATTACATTATTATTATTATATTACTTAAAAACTTAATTTAATTCTTTCATGTTATTTTAATCCTCTAACGTCACTTTATTATTATTTAATAACTTAATTTAATTCTCTTATTCTGTTTAAGATTTCATTTCCTGCTTTCTCAACTGACAATGAGTACTTATATATGGTAGTCTCTATCTATATGTAGGCGGATATCTGTTTACTATAATTGGCAATACATATCCTAAAATTTCAATCCATGCAGACCTAATCTCCTCCTAGTATGCTTACTAATTGGGTAATTTAACGTCAACAAAGTTTATGTATTTGTCTATTTAACTATCCATTATGCGTTATAATTATTCAAGCAATTAAAATTAGATTCTCTTTGAAATAATACGAATTTCAAATTGGGTTCGTCGAATAAATGTTTAAAAAATTAGTGACTACGTGCGCTGTGTTTGATTAGAGCTGTTCGCGGAATTTCTAGCGACGCGCGGACTAGCGCAGGTAATAATTAATTACGTTAGCTGCAATCAGTTCGTTAATCAACGCTCTCTACTGTCATTCCCGTCCGACCGCGCCTCCTGACGGCGGGAACTGTTGAATGATCTCTCGATTGCCAATTCGTTTAATCATATCGCCGGCCTCTCACTCGCGCACGTGCATTAAACCTCAATGACTAAGTTCGATTAATTATGACCAGACTGACGTTGACGTATGACGTGTGGACGAATAATCCAGACACGGCCATTTCACGTAAATTGTAAATCGAAAAAATTCTCAGTTCTGCTCAAGAAACATTGCAGTGTCTCATATTACATGTATAATGAATTCTTTCAGAAAAGTTACATATTTCTGATTTTACATGTTTACATTATAATTTTGAAATTTTTCAAATTATTCATCAAACTTTTGGAGAGATCAGTTTTTAGATTATAATAATTGATTAAAAATGAAAAATATCTTTTGCATACGAGAAATAAAAAATATATAACTGAATAATAAAATGGTATTTTCTTTATTTTTACATAAAATTTAATTCTCGATTATATTAAATAATCCTTTCGTACAAAAATTATGTATTGATATATAACTTCTATTTTATGTTTAAATATTTTTTTCATTAAACTATACAGACTTCTTCAATTGAAACATTAATAGTTTTTAGACTATAAACAAAAAGACATCATTCTTCGCATATCAAATATATGAAAATTAAATAATAAAATGAAAAACAAGACACTGAATAATACAAACATGTACTTCCGTTACTTAATTTCGCATGAGTTTCATTTCTTCGGAGTTTTAATTATTGATTTATTTACAATAAATGATTTATTACAATAAATGATAATAAATTGAAATAGATTTACGTGAAATGTTCTCAAATAGAATTAGAATTCAAGAAATTAATTATTGAAATTAAGATTGACAATTCTGGGACATTACGTGTTTCAAAATAGCTTTTACATGAGATGTATCGGAGCAAGGAGACATTTTGGAAAAGGTTGATTGTGCATTGTAGAGTGAGGAAAGTTATATACGGATAGTTTAGAATAATAATATTACGATAGACGACGAAAGTATGCGGGATTTCAGCGAGGCGATGACGCGTTACACCAAGACAAGGCGATGTAATTTTATTGAACCCGGTTTAATTACGCGCCGGATGCAACTCAAAGTTTCGCGTTAACTTGTCATAAAGAGCTGATATACGACACCAGGTGTAATTAATAATTAGGTAGCAGCTTGTGGGGAGCGGCTTCCAGTTGAATTTAATTTTTAAACTGCAGTCCACCGCGCATGGAATTATTTCTCATTGCGTTTGTGGCTCGTTTATTTTGTAGTTTGTGTCATAAAAGCACTAATTCCTCTTCATAGAAAGTAATATCAAGCGCCTTTGAGATATCTAGAAATTTCGTACATGTTTGCGTGATTCCCATTTTGAATTCAAACAGTTTTAATCTCTTTTAGATTTCTATGACATTCTATAGAATGTCCCAAAGCTAATCGTTATTGTTTTATGTATTATAGAATCGATTTTCCTCTAGCAGAAATTTCGTTGGCTAATATTTTTTCAACATAATTGTTATAATATATATAATTTTATTAAGAGATTTTTAATAAGTATAGTTGAAATTAAATTATGTTAAAGTATTTTTTAAATAAAATAAATAACATCTAACATTTTTTTGTTAATACAAGTAGCAGGATTTATTTTATAAATAATAGCCAAAAAATTCGCAATTTAAAGAAATAATGCTAATTCCTGAATATTCCATACCTGTGCACTTTCACACTCAAGTTCCATTTTCTCATCAAATAGGGTAGAACGCGACTAGTTGAGCTAAGCGGCAAATTGGGAGTTGGGACATGCATATCTCATTGTCAGTAACTGAAACGTGTATAGACATGTCTATGCTTGCGCAAGACAGCGCAGAGAAGACTACTATACTGCTAACTATGCTGAACACAATAATCTGTGCCAAGATGTCAACGGTCGAATATGCACCCTTTTACGTTTTCGTGCATTAAAAATAAAGTTATTACGTGAGTGTTCTTTTTGGCCTATGTGGTATAATTGAAATGATTTTATAAAAATCAGATATGTTTTTTTACATGAGTTATTCGTGTATTTTTTTATATTTTTAAAAATTCAAGTTGCTATTTTATTTATAGTTTTTTTCAGTTATAAAGTCAATTTTCAGCTGACAACGGTATGAGGCTAATTGGGTCAAGTGTCCTAAACTAATGTTGCTTATAAGCTATGATGCTTAAATAATAAATCTATCTTTATGATGCTTTTTATTGCTTTGTTTATTAATGTAAATATAAAATATAATCTCAGTCAAATTTTTTAAGCAATCTTCTAAAGCAATTCTCATTATTCTATCATAAGTGTAAGATTTATAATAATTTAAATAAAAAGTTGCTCAATTAGCCGTTTTATTTTAAATATTTTTGTAAATATCATGTTTATTTTTCGTGAAAATAACATTAGTTCTAAAGTATGGACAATGATTCACTAAAGCAATACAATACGAGATTGTTTTTTTTTACATTCGTTTCAGAATCTGTATGAACAAATATATTGTAAAATATTTTTTAAATAACAATATCACACCATAAAAGTTTCAAATAATACAGAATTG